GGCATCACAGCTCATAGGAACCTCCCAATTCCTGGGCTCAAGCGAGTCTCCTGCCTCTGCCTCCCAAGTAGCTGGGACCACAGGTGCCCACCACAACGCCTGGCTATTTTTTGGTTGCAGCCATCATTGTTGTTTGGCGGGCCCAGGCTGGATTTGAACCTGCCACCTTAGGTGTACATGGCTGGCATCTTAGCCACTTGAGCCACAGGCACCGAGCCCAGAAAGATGTTAACAGGTAAAAATGAGACGTGGTGTCGGTAGCACAGTGGTTACTGAGTCAGCCACATACACCGTGGCTGGTGGGTTCAAACCCAGCCTGGACCAGCTAAATAATGATAATGGTAACAAAAAATAGATGGGCATTGTGGCAGGCACCTGTAGTCTCAGCAACTTGGGAGGCTGAGGCAAGAGACTCGCTTAAGCCCAAGAGTTTAAGGTTGCTGTGAGCTATGATGCCACAGCACTCTTCCAAGGACAACATAGACTCTCTTTCAAAAAAATAAATAAATAAAATAAATGAATAAATAAATAGGTAAAAATGAGTTTCACCCATATTTTCTATGAGTTATTTAAATGTAATGGGTACATGTGCATTTTTGTTACATGGACATATAGCACAGTGGTGAAGTCTGGGCTTTGCACGTGGTCCCCACCTCAACAGTGTGCATTGTGTCCATTCAGGAATTTCTCCTCCCTCACCCTGCTCCCACCCCTGGAGTCTCCCGTGTCTGTTACTCCACACTCTGTGTCCCTGTGTACACATTACTTAGCTCCCACTTACACGTGAGAGCATGTGGTATTTGACCTGTTTCTGAGTTGTTTCACTTGAGACAATGACCTCCAGTTCCATCCATGTTGCTGTAAATAGGGTTTCATTTTTTCACAGATGAATAGTATTCCACTGTGTATATGTGCCACATTTTCTTTACCCAGTCATCTGCCGATAAACACTTAAGCTGATTCCATGTCTTTGCTATTGTGAATAGTGCTGCAATAACAAAGAATTTTTTTTAATATTCTTTGATATTACAAACTCCCTTTCCCAAAGATAGTTTTTATGTAAAATGAATAAATGAAATAAAACTTAGACATACCATACCTTCTTGGATAGTAAATAAACATATTTGTCTGTTACCTGAAAATAGTTGTTTTCTTTCAAAGGCACGAGCAAGGTTGGAATTGAGAGAGGAAGCAACAAAAGAAGATGCCGAGGATATAGTTGAAATTATGAAATATAGGTAAGATTAAAATTGTAAATGCTGATTTCTTTAAATTTAAATTTTTGGGGTAGAGTGCCTTGGCCTCATTGCTCACAACAATCTCAAACTCCTGGGCTCAAGCGATTCTCTTGCCTCAGCCTCCTGAGTGGCTGGGATGCAGATGCCTGCCACAACACCCAGCTCATTTTTCTATTTCTAGTAGAGAAAGAATCTTGGTCTTCCTCAGGTTGGTCTTGAACTTCTGAGCTTGAGTGATCCACTCCCCTTAACCTCCCGGAGAGCTAGGATTATAGGCATGAGCCACTGTGCCCAGCCATAAGTGCTATTCATAGTAATATATTTAATTAGACCAATAAATTACTTTTATTTGGATCACTTATTTTCCTGTGATCAAAGTGTGCTTTCTGGGTTTAAAATATTTCTGACTGCATAAATAATGGTTACATTCAAAAACTATTTTTGAGGGAGTGGTGCCTATGGCTCAAAGAAGTAGGGTGCCAGTCCCATATGCCGGATGTGGCGGGTTCAAACTCAGCCCCAGCCAAAAACTGCGAAAAAAAAAAACAAAAACAAAAACTATTTTTGAGTGGGTAAAATAGTCACATAGTTCTAAAATCATTGTAAGATTTTGAGAAAAGTAGCTTCCATCCTGTTTTATCATCCACTCTTCCCTCCACCAATTACTTTTCCATAAATAGCATACTATTTTTTTTTCCAATTTGCCTTTCTCTTTTATAAGATAAATTACCAACAAAGTCCTGACCTAGAAATCTTAATTTAAATAAAATCTCTGTGTTTAATACCATGAAACAAGCTAAATCACACACAGTTCTTAATAAACTGATGATGGAATATTACCCAAATGATAAAGGAAGCAAACATTCAACTGTCACACTCATTTCAGAAAAGAGACATTAAACAGTCATATCTTATCTTTATTTACAAACTCAAATAGTATGCTACTGAGTTCAAGAGTTGATCCATTTTTCAAAGAGAATACACCTCTTAAAGTGCTCTTCATATCTGTTAAATGGATGAATTAAAACATCTTTACTTCTGGGCAGTGCCTGTGGCTCAGTGGGTAGGGCGCTGATCCTAAGGGTGGTGGGTTCAAACCTGGCCCAGACCAAACTGCAATAAAAAATAGCTGGGCATTGTGGTGGGTGCCTGTAGTCCCAGCTACTCAGGAGGCTGAGGCAAGAGAATTGCCTAAAGCCCAGGAGCTGGAGGTTGCTATGAGCTGTGACACCATGGCATTCTACCAAGAGCTACAAAGTAAGACTCTGTCACTAAAAAAAAAAAAAAGATCTTTATAAACAGTAGTTGGTGTCTTACTATAAAGAAAGGTGCAGCAAATCCAGATCCAAAGTACAAAGTCATCATAGCTAGTAACCACCACTTATTTTCCCCTGAAAATGGCAAATTCTTCCCGAGACCCTCCTCCTAGTGACTCCTACAGACGACGGAGGTTGTACCTCTGGATGCTCTGTGCCAACACAGCACCTTTGGAAGCTCTGAGAAAGGCGCGGAGACCCAAGGCAGAAGAAATGGGGCAGCACACTGAGACCTCTTTTCATGACCTTGTTCAGTAGCATACTGTTTATACTACTTTGTGCTGTGTTTGAATTTAACAGTATATACAGAGATTTTCCTTAGGACATAAAGATTTCCTTTTCCTTTTTTTTTTTTTTTCCTTTCTTTCAGTTTTTGGCCAGGGGGCTGGGTTTGAACCCGCCACCTCCAGCATATGGGGCCAGCGCCTTACTCCTTTGAGCCAAAGGCACCGCCCTAAAGATTTCCTTTTTGTAGTTTTCTATTGCCTAGATACACTGTAGTATATTTAATCAATCTCCTACTATTAGATACATGAATCTTTTCCCTTCTTTTGCTATTACAAACAATGCTACAATGAGTAATGTTCTATATAAGGTAGTTTATGTGTGGATATGTTGTATGCCTGTATGCTAAATTCTCAGAAGTGATATTTCTAGGTTCCAGAGTAAATACATTAGGATTTTGATAAATACTGCTCAGTTATGTCTTATGCATTTTCTGTCATTTGGTAGATCATGATTCCTAGAAGGTAAAAAGGAAAAAATACATATTTAACTGAATGTATATGTCTACCTTAGACATAGTTTTCTTTTCTTAATTGGTAAAAGTAAAAGCTGGTTCTCTTATGTAGGCTTTATTTTCTAGCTAAATTTTTTTAAATAGGTTCATATATTCATATGTTTCAAAATTCCAAAGTTCAAAACATATATAGTAAAGAAGTTTCCTCCTACCCTGTTTAGTAGCTACTCAGTTCTTACTGGCCAGTGGTAACAACTGCCAATTTCTTGTGTGAGTTTCAGTTATAAAGCACACATCACAAATATGTATCTGTGTGTTCTTTTTTCCCCTTTATAGACAAATGGTAACATACACATTGTGTTTTCACTAAAAATGCATATTGAAGATCATTCTGTATTAGTACTTAAGAGCTTCTCATTTCCACAACTATCTCAATTTATCAACTTATAATTTATAAATTAGCTTATTTAATATGTTCTCACAGCACTTAAAATATTTATGTTAGGAATCTACTTTTCCAAAGCTAAAAAAAAATTAAGATGAAATTATACCTTATTTTGTTAAATAATTTGTTTCTTCAAAGATGGATGGGTTCCCCCCCCCACCCCCACCCCTAATAGCTGCTGATTCTGGGGCTTGCCTGCTGTCCGAACAAGGTGGCTTTGCCCAGTTGTGCCCTTTGGCTGTGAATGAAGTGGTGCAGCACAGGTCAGCAAGTGAGGGCTTTAGAGTCCAGCCTGAAGCTGCCATGGCAACTTACATACTGCTTCTTGGTCTTGTGTTAAACACACCTCAAAGGATTGTGCTCTCGGGTGTCATGCAATGATGCTGTATAAAGTGACATATATGGTTCTGACACGTTGGTGGACACTCAGTAAACACTGTTCACCATCAGTAGTTCTGGCTTTGATGATAATACTAAGATGAGACTGAGCAGATCACCCCTTTTCTGACTCATACCATAAATTCAGAGTTTCAAAAACTGGCAAATCTCAGCTCCAAATAAGAAGTTTATAAAAGTACTCTTTTCAAAGAATTTCAGGGGTCTAATCCTCAATACTCTGTCTAAATTGTCTAGATTCTCTGAGCTGCAGATCCTTTTCTCCCTTTACTCATAGCCTTTGTCCCTAGGCTGGTCTGGCTTGTCCTTGGAGGCTGCTCTGCTGCCTCTAGAACTGTGCATGAGGGTAGAAGGGGACCCATGTTTCCAGAAGGTCTTGGGGTTCTTTTCTACCCTTATAAGCAGCCTATGGAAGAAGAGGAACCTTTCTTAATTTAATGTGTTAGAATTTGCCAGCAACTGTGAGGTTATATGGGCTGTCTTTGGAAGCTTTTAAGAGTCTAAAATTGATATATCTTAATTTTTTGTTGCTGGCTCCAAAGCATTTGCCTCATTATAAGTAAAATTATTAACACTTAGTGATTACCAGATTCATGAATCAAAAAGAATGTTACAGGTATTTATGTTGTATATCTTTTTGAACTCTTTTTTTTTTTTTTAATTGCAGTTTTTGGCTGGGGCTGGGTATGAAACTGCCACCTCCAGTATATGGGACCAGCGCTCTACTCTTTGAGCCACAGGCACCACCCTATATATTGTTAACATTGTGTTTTTATGCATTTCTCTTTTCAAATTAAGAAGTTTCTTAAAAGTGATAACTGTCAAAAAAAAAAGTGATGACCGTCCAAAATATTTATCCCCAAAGAGTCCATACCATAGTGAATTTCAGATTATCCATTTAATAAACACATTCACATTTTAGCTAAGTGAGCCTTGTGGCTGTTTCTTTTTTTTTTTTATGGAAATATGTTGGAAATGTTTAATAATTGTTTTACTAGGTGAACAAATAAAGAAATAAAACATTGTAACCAAGTCATCAAAATATCTCATAACTGTCAGCAATAACAGAGTTTACAAAATGTTTTCTTCCACTATGGGACAGAGACTGCTACATATACCCTCATTTCTTAGTATCTGCATTCCATTTTTCCAGAATAAAATGTGGTTGAGTACTTAGCTTTCCAGAATAAAGACAACATTTCCCAGCCTTCCTTGTAGCTAATGTAATGCCTGAAATCCGGAATTTTCCCCAAGAACCAGTCGGAGTCAACCTATGCAATTAGCAAGAGGCAGTCTTTATTTGCAAACTCGAGTTTGGGCCCTCCCTGTCCCTGTCCCAGCAGGAGAGCAGAGAGAAGCCCCTACCCTTGCAGGGAGCTTTGTTTTAAAGGAACAGAAAGGAAGAAGGGAGGGGCTGGGGGAGTGGGTCTCTGGAACAGAAAGGAAGAAGGGAGGGGCTGGAGGAATGGGTCTCTAGGGGGAGTGGGTCTAGGGCGGATAACAAGAAACTTGGTGCGGTTGCGGTTGGTGGCTTGAGTTCAGTGTCTTTGCAAACATTAACGTTTTTGCAAGCATTGCACACATATCTAGGTCACAGCAAAACGTTTTCTTAAAAGCTACTATAAAATGGGGCCTTCACTTAAAATGGAGTCAGTTCGGCTAGGTCTCACACTAGGTGTTAGCCAGTGATCCATAAGCAAACATGATATGTGTAATTTCTGTGATGTGCTATTAGAGGAAATGGGTACACCCATCATTTGCCCTTTCTCCCCCTATTCCTGTCAGCTGAAGTGCCGATGTGATAATGAACCATCTTGGACCATGTGGACAGGGTGACACCACAGAGATGGGAAGGGAACAAAAGGAGCATGGATGTGGCTGTTTCTTTCTCTCTCTCTTTTTTTTTTCTTACAACCTGGAAGTCCAGGACAAAAATTTCTATAGCTGTGCCACATTGGATAATTTTTTCTTCCCTTCCCTTTAAGCATGCTAGGAACTTACTCTGATGAATTTGGGAACCTAGATTTTGAGCGATCCCAGCATGGTTCTGGAATGAGCAACAGGTCAGCGGCCAAAAGATTTATTTCTGCTCTCAACAACATTGCTGAAAGAACTTATAATAATTTATTTCAACTTCATCAACTTCGGCAGATTGCCAAAGAGCTGAACATTCAGGTATAATAAACTACTTAATAATTTTTTTAAAATAATTTCAGGGGGTCCTTATTAATGTATAGTAGAACAAAATAGTTTTTTTTTACTTAACCTCTTCTCAAAGGTTTTTCAGTGTCTTGATAGTTAGAGGGAACTATTACAGCAAGACTTAGTCACCATGTTTTTATAAAAGTCTCTTGTGGGCAAGTCGTCTTAACCTCCTCTAACCTGAGCTTCCTCATCTGTGAAATAATGATTCTACCTGCTCTTCCTACTTCAGAGTGCTAGGAATGTAATATGTGATGTTATACATGATGGGAAATAGCTTGCTTAATTTCAAAATGTGATTTTTATTTTTAAACTAACCTAAAACAAATATTTTTATATTCTCTGTGTACTGGAGTGTTTAATTTATTTTGGCATTAATTACAGAATCCAGAGCTTTCAAATATAGGTACTTGTCTCTGTAAGAAGTGCAGATAATTGTATTTGTCCATGCAACTTGAAAGTTGTATATTATTCAGGTTAATTTTAAAAGTTATATTTTGGCATATTATTTAATAAGCTAACTCTTGATGTTTTCCTTAGGTTGCTGATTTTGAAAACTTCATTGGATCACTAAATGACCAAGGTTACCTCCTGAAAAAAGGCCCAAAGCTTTTCCAGCTTCAAACTATGTAAAAGGATTTTGCCAAGTCAGGGTCTCCTGGGTTTATCAGTAGTTTAAAGCCATCACAAGAATGAAGATATGTTTGCAAGCACACCTGCATTTAAAAAAAATAAAAGGTGAAGATTTGCAAAACATATATATATATGTATGTATGTATACACTGTTCTCTGAAAAAAATGATGCCCCACAACTGGTGTCACAGGGAAAAGTTGTCAAGTATGATAAACTAAGAATTCACAAAGTCATATGTTAATTTTTTATAAATTCTCCAAAGGCTAAAAATAAATTATTTTATCTAAATGATATGATTAAAAATTATTTATAGTTAAATTTTTAACCTTATTTATATGACTGTTTCTTAATGTTACATATCAAATGTCCATCATGATGCATTCAGACAAATTAGCATGCCAGTGTTCCAGTAAAACTTCATTTACGGACATTAAAATTTGAATTTCATAATGTTTTCATATGTCACATTATAATCTTTTTTTTAAACCATTTAATAATAGGCCTGGTTTGGACCATATGTTATGGTTTGTAGACTTTTTGCAGCAAATACTAGCAATTGATTAACGAAGCAGGGGAATTTTCTTGAAAGGATTTTGGTTAGTTTACAGAATTAGAAGTCTGGTGAACCAAGAGGGTAAACTTGCAGGAACAATTTATAAAACCATGAATTAGAACTGGAGAAGTTCTAATGAGAAACACCACCACACAGGGGACTGCAAGAAAGTGCTACCGCTTCTATGCCCAACCAGTGCCACTTCTGTTCCAGGAACAAGCGGAAGAATGCCCCTCACCTGTGCATCAGAAAAGCAAGAAAAAAAGAAAAGAGAAAGAAAGAAAGGGAAGGAAGGGATGAGAGACAGAAAGAGGAAAGAAAGCATTCATAGTGCTTCCTTGACTGCTGAATTCAAAAGAAAAGTCTGATCTGAGGGCCCGATGTGGTGGCTCATGCCTGTAATTCTAGCACGTTGGGAGGCCACACACGTGATTGCTTGAGTTCAGGAGTTTGAGAACAACCTGAGCAAGAGCGAGACCCCATCTCTAGAAAATAGTGTGGTCTTGTGGCAGGCATCCATAGTCTCACTACTTGGGAGGCTGAGGCAAAAGGATCAGTTGAGCCTAGTAGTTTGAGGTTTCTGTGAACTATGATGCCATGTTACTCTGCCAAGGCAACAAAGTGAGATTCTGTTTCAAAAGAAAATCTGATCCAGGGTGGCAGCTGTGGCTCAAAGGAGTAGAGCGCTGGCCCCATATACCAGAGGTGGCAGGTTCAAACCCGGCCCCCAGCCAAAAACTGCAAAAAAAAAAATCTGATCCAGAAACATCTAATTGAAAAAAGCTGTTACATTTCCCTTTAATAGGATGCTAGGAAGTTTTTTTACTTGTACTTCGGAGTGGTAGGATCAATAAAGCCAAACTTTCCCCTACTTGGTGAGAGGATTCAGATGGTACTGGGCTGTCAGCCAAACTGTCATTTATGTATTAATCCAGCAAACACTTTCTAACATACAAGAACTTAGAAAATGTGAACTATTGGAGAGAATATACTAAAATACAACTTTTACCAAGTCAGAAGATGGATGGACAATTTTTTTAAAAACTGGCAATATATATCAAACATTTAACTGTAAGATCAAAACTAAAATAAATGTGGTGCTTATTGCCATATAACACAACTAAGTATAAAATCTTCATTTCAAAAATCCAGGAATCAAACACGAAGGAAGGAGAAAGTAAATGGTGGTATAAAAACCATGTTATCTTTAAAGGCTAGGGTGGGAGTTAAAAGATGCTTAAGTCTGATTATTAATAGAACTAAGGCATATTTCACAAATGTCAACACATACTTATCAACCAACTAAAGTATATTTCTCTATACAAGTTTACTTACGCAAAGTAAGTTAATAAAGAAAAAAGTTTAGAAATAGAGCAAAAAAATGTAAAATGGTAGGCATGAGAGAGAAGAAATATACTAATTCATCGTTCAAAGAAAAAAAGACAAAACCTCAAAGGTGAAGGCTATTACATAAAATGATAGACAAGATGATAAATGCCTATATTATCAGAAGAAACCTTCATGTCTTCTTAGATTCTCTATTTGTCTATTTGGCATCCATTAATCACAGTACCAAACTAGCAACCAAAGCTGTTTAGCTGTCCCCTGCAATCTAGCTTGTGAGCACATAAAGCCACATTACAGACCATCCAACCACAAACCCTAACACCTGCTTTTCACTTCCTGCCCAAAGAGGGGATGTCCCTACCCAAACAACTTCCCACCAGTACAACAATAAATGCTCCGGCCTTCTTCCTCAAAAGCCTTGTATATCCAGGCCCCTTTCTCTTGGGAAATGTAAATAATAAATTCCTTCAAAGGCAGTTGTCTCTATCACCTTGTCATACCCGAATAAAAAAAAGTTTAGGTACAAATTTTAGAAACGTACAAAGCAAGAAAACATTATATCATGAAAAAAATATGTTTTTTAAAGACAGGGGATCTCATTGTGCTGCCCAGGCTGGACTCAAACTCCCGGGTTCAAGCATTCCTCCACCTCAGTGTTCTGAGTAGCTGAGACTACAGGTGCATGCCACCACACCTGGGTGCAACATCATGAAAAGGTTTTAACATGCAAAAAGAGCCTAATTGTGACAGAAGTAAACCTAAACCTCAGTATGTCATATTAATAAATGTAATAAATATAAATGGGCTAACCTCACCTATTGAAATGAACACTTTCAGATGGAATCATAAACTCTTGTATAGAAAATACATCTAAAGGCTCGGTGCCTGTAACTCAAGCGGCTAAGGCACCAGCCACATACAGCAGAGTTGGCAGGTTCAAATCCAGCCCAGGCCTGCCAAACAACGATAACTATAACCAAAAAAATAGCCAGGCATTGTCGCGGGCACCTGTAGTCCCAGCTACTTGGGAGGCTGAGGCAAGAGAATCGCTTAAGCCCAGGAGTTAGAGGTTGCTGTGAACTGTGATGCCATGGCACTCTACCCAGGGCGACAGCTTGAGGCTCTGTCTCAAAATAATAATAATAATAACAATAATAAAACACATCTAAAGAAAAATGAGTTAGCTGAAAATATAAAGATAGACAAAGATATACCAGGAAAGTGCAAACAAAAAAAAAGCAAGGGCATTAATATAAAAAGAGTGAAATCAGGGCAAAGCCCATTAAGAAAGAATGGACCCATTAGGGGAGTAATTCATAAGTATATAACCGGCTATGCACAAGTAACAGAATTAGGGAACAAACTCATTAATAGAAGATTTTATTTTGCTTCTCCCAATTCCTATCAATTAAATGATAAAAAATAAGAATGTAACAGGTATGAAGAGCATGATTTATGAAATGTGTGTAACTGATAAAGACCAAAGTCTGTACCCTGGAAACAATATATTTTCTCTTCAAATCTCATAAAAGTTGTAAGTGTTGGCTTGGCGCTTGTAGCTCAAGTGTCTAAGGTGGCAGCCACATACACCTAAGGTGGCGGGTTCGAATCCAGCCCGGGCCCGCCAAAAAACAATGATGGCTGCAACCAAAAAATAGCCGGACGTTGTGGCGGGTGCCTGTGGTCCCAGCTACTTGGGAGGCGGAGGCAGGAGACTCGCTTGAGCCCAGGAATTGGAGGTTGCTGTGAGCTGTGATGCCATGGCACTCTACCCATGGGGACAGCTTGAGGCTCTGTCTCAAAAAAAAAAAAAAAGTTATAAGTGTTAACCACAAAATAGACTTTAAAATTACATAAAGTAGGCTGGGTGCAGTGGCTCATACCTGTAATCCTAGCAGTCTTTGGAGGCCGAGGCAGGAGGATTGTTTGGGCTCTTAAATTTGAGACCAGCCTGAGCAAGAGTGAGACCCCATCTACTAAAAACAGGAAAAGTAGCCAGTTATGTCAGGTGCCTGTCATCTGTCATCCCAGCTACTTAGGAGGCTGAGGCAGGAGAACTGCTTGAGCCTGGGAGTTTGAGGTTGCTGTGAGCTAGGCTGACATCATGTCACTGTAGCCTGCAGCAACAGAGTGAGACTGTCTTAACAACAACTCTCCTAAATCTTGAGAGAGACACCTCAGAATACTGCTGTTAGAACACTGTATTCCACATGTTCAGTAGGCAGAATAATACTCACCTCACCCACCTCCAAAACAACATCCCCAGGAGCTGTGAATATGTTAGGTGATACGGCAAAGGAGAAACAGGCTACCAACCAGCTGATGTAAACTAGGGATATTATCCTATCTTGGTGGGTTCAATACAATCAGAGGAAGCCTTCACAATGGAGGAAAAGGCAGACGAAGAGTCAGGAAATGTGACTCAAAGAAAGGCACAGACGCAACCTTGCTGCTTCACAGATGGAGGAACTTGGACAGCCCTGGAATCTTATCCCGGGAATCAGTATATGCACCACAATTAAAGGTTTGATTTTTGTTTTGTTTCTGATGCAGAGTCTCACTCTGTTGCCCAGGCTAAAGTGCCGTGGCCTCAGTCTAGCTCAGAGCTACCTCAAACTCCTGAGCTCAAGTGATTTTCCTGCCTAAGCCTCTTTTTCTTTTTTTTTTTTTTTGAGACAGAGTCTCACATTGTCACCCCTGGTAGAGTGCTATGACGCCATAGCTCACAGCAACCTCAAACTCTTGGGCTCAAGTGATTCTCTTGCATCAGCCTCCCCAGTAGCTGGGATCACAGGTGCCTACCACAACACCCAGCTATTTTTAGAAACCGGGTCTCTAGCTCAGGCTATCCACCTGCCTTGTTCTCCCAGAGTGCTAGGATTACAGGCAGAATTAGTTTAGCTGAGCATGGTGGCACGTGCCTGTAGTCCCAGTTACTCAGGAGGCTAAGGCAGGAGGATCACTTGAGCCTAGGAGTTGAGAGCCATAGCGTGCTATGACCATTGGGTGTCCCTACTAAGTTTGGCATTAATGACCTCCCTGAACCAGAACCAAGAGGTTGCCTAAGAAGAGGTGAAATGGCCAAGATTGAAAACAGAGCAAGACAAAATTCCCATGGTGATCAGTAGTGAGATCATACCTGTGCATAGCTACTGCACTCCAGCTTGAGCAATGTAGTGAGATCCTGTTTCTTAACATATAAAATAAAAAAGAACTGGTTTAGATCTTTTAATAATTTAAATAGTCATCTAAATTATAGCATTTAAAATGGCATTAATCTCCGCAAGTTCTGAGAAGATGATGTGCCCAAAGTATCTGACCCTACCACTCATTCTCAATTCTAAACCAATTGTTTTATTTTTGTCCTATTTAGGCTGCGGGACTGTGCAATTACTACAGTGATTTAAACCTGTATCTTATTTGGGTAACTAGTTATTTAAAACCCACCTTTGGGTTTATAATTTTTTTATTTTTTTGAGACAATCTCATTACGTCACCCTTGGTAGAGTGCTATGGTATCACAGCTCCCAGCAACCTCAAACTCTTGGCCCAAGAGTCTCGGGCTTAAGCAATTCTCTTGCCTCAGTCTCCCAAGTAGCTGGGACTACAGGTGCCTACCACAACGCCCAGGTGTTTTTGTTGCATTTTGTTTAGCAGACCCGGGCCGGGTTCAAACCCAGTATATGTGGTCGGCACTATAACCACTGAGCTACAAGCACCAAGCTCCACCTTTGCGTTTAGTGCCAATAACTATGGCTTACTCCTGTAAGAGTTAATGCTCCTTGACTCCTAGAGAAATTGCTTTGTTTACCTAGTTTGTTTTAACTTCCAACTGTTAACGTTTACATAGGACTCATTTGCAAAACTACCTTCTTTATGTTAACATTATTTCATCTGATCCCAGGAAACAGAAAGTAGATCAAATTTATTGTGTCCAAGACTGAACAACTTAATATAAGTAATAAACACTAGGCTTCATTGCATGTCTGACATAAGGCAGGGCAAATATATTTCTAGAGTTTGTCAACTGATTGATCAATAAAAAATATTCATAATGGATTTGGAATAGGAATTTCTTTTCAAAAACCCTGTGCTTCAAATAGAAGTGACAAGTGAGAAGAATGGCTGGGAAGCAGAATTTTCATGAAGCCTACATACAGGTTCCAGGAATTTTTAGCAAAAAGGTAAGATGTGCCAATAATCACAGTCATATTGCAGCACTTTGCAACTTAACCATGGAAGGCATAAGTGGCAAGACAATACTACCCTCTAGGGGTAGAATTTTTATTTTACAACTTAATTAAATGATAAAGAACTAGACAGTAATAGCTTCACGGTAATTATACTACTAATAGCTATTGTTATTAACTTTTATACTTTCAAGTACTAACTTAAGTATCCTATCAATAGGCTAATTGGTCAAGGTCAAACAGTCCTGTCTCTTCATGTTCTTTCATTCTTTTAGTATTATGACTTACATGATTGACTTTAGAAGCGGACCAATATATTTTTCTTTCTTTTTTTTTTTTCTTGAGAGAGTCTCACTCTGTAACCCTGGTAGAGTGCCGTAGCCTCATAGCTCACAGCAACCTCCATCTCACAGCAACCTCCATCTCTTGGGCTTAGGTGATTCTCTTGCCTCAGCCTCCTGAGTAGCTGGGACTACAGGCGCCTGCCAAAACGTCCGGCTATATTTTTGTTGCAGTTTGGCCGGGGCTGGGTTCGAACCCACCACCCTTGGTATATGGGGCCAGCACCCTACCCACTGAGCCATAGGTGCTGCCCAACAGACTTACTTTTTAAAATTTTTTCCCCCTGATTTGGGAAAAAGACCAGTGACAGAGATTCCCAGTCTCCTTAGACATATGAAGTGCTCACCTTATTAGATAGACATTAACTATTATAGAATTAACAAAACAGGAAATCAACTTATTATAAACTGATTAGTGACTGTAGAATGGTTTGGTTTCCTCTGTCCCCTGCCCTGCTCTAAACCATATCTATTAGTAAATATGCTCCACTATTATTTACTGTGTGTATACTAATACCTGACATCTGGAATTTTTGCCTCACTGGGTTCCTGGTCATTTGTTTGACTCAAGTTCTAGAAAATGAAATTAAGATTGATAATTAGATATTTTCCAGTCTTAAAATATTAGGGAAACAGTTAGAAGCATGTTACTTTCTGGTCCTAAGTATTGATCTGCCACGATCCTTTAGGCCAAAATCCCCAACACTTTATTTTTCTACTTACAAAGACTTAATGGCAATATCAGTAGTCTATAGTAACTTTGGCCTTCTTAAGAAATTATAAAATAGGCTTGGCACCTGTAGCTCAAGTGGCTAAGACATCAGCCACATACACCTAAGGTGGCGGGTTCGAATCCAGCCAGGGCCCACCAAAACAACAATGAAATAACTGGCTCAGCACCTGTGGCTCAAGCAG